ATTTGAGACACAATTAATAATTTTTGAACAATGCAGTAGTATTTATTGAAAGCACAATGTAAGTGGTGCTCATTATAATCACGCAATAATGTGCTATTTAAATCTTAAAAGATTTAGTCCCCCCCTCCCATTCCTAGTAGTGGTATATCCCACACTCTTTCCAACGGGCAGGGCTGCTTGGCAGCAGTAGCAGCATGTGGCTGGAACCACTGCCCACATCGCGCATCACAGGGTAAGATGTTCACTCACACAGACACAGTTTAACTTAGGCTACACATGTTACAACACATCCCATTTACTGTTACAACAAGCCTCAGGTCCAGGCTGATAATATAAACTGTCTGCAACATTTCTCCTGCATTGTTCAAAAGCCTACTCAATTACGAGTGCTGCTAAGCTAAAAGCTAATGATTAAGCTCAGAGTTTAGTGATAGAGAGGACAGGAGAGAAAGAAGAGGGAGAGGACAGGACAAGAGCAGTCAGTGGCGGAGCAGTGGGTACCTGCAAAGCAGCGCTGGGCGGGACCTCATTATGCGCAACTATTACATACGGTTGTGATGGAGCGTAGCTAATGGATACCTGTCTGTAGGCTCTCCTCCTGTTAGTGAGACAAACATGAAAGACGTGCAGACGAGGAGCGGTCATTACACGCGACTATTACGCACAGTTGTGAGGTTCGCAGCGGCAGATCTCACAGCACACTGTTTATAAACCAGTTTACCAGTTTAATTGCAGGAAATGTTTAGTTTTAGTTTTAGTTAGTATAGACATTCACTCTGCCTGTTAGAGAGATAGAAGATTAAAGCGTCAAATTGCGGTAAAAGATGCTGTATAAAAGACAGGCTACAACTTTTTTTCCTTGTCCCCCCCTGGAATTATTCTCTAAAATTTTACTGTTTATTGTCCCCCCCAACTATGAAATGAGATTTTTGCCCCTGGGGGATGGAAATAGTTATGTTCGAATTAAGTCTGACGTAGCGCACCTATCTCCATGGTGATATCCACACTCCGAGTTGGGAAGGCAGTAATGCATTTACAAGCCGGTTGCCAACTGCCAGAAAACGTAGAAGAAGTAGAATGTGAGACTTGTTTTGTTTCCGGTTCTGCGGAAAACTCACACGAGTTTGTAGTTTTCACCAAAGTCCGTACATTTAATGGAAACACACAGGATTCGTATTTCTTTTAATGTGCATTTCCCAGTAATTCAAATCACTTTTGGATGGAAACATAGCTATTGTCTTTAATTAGTCTCTGTCTTGCAGGGAGACAGCTCTGCCTTCTGTCAAACTACAATATTGATCCAGGTCTGTAATATTTCTGATGGCTATTACTTTAGCCTGTTCTGGTGTACCTGTCAGTCTTATCAATTCTTTGCAGATCCTTGTCCAGGTGTCCTGAATTTGCTGTTTCTTCTCCAGGATTCTTTCTTGTCGTGCAATTTCAGCATTTCTCTCTCATTAACATATACACCTGTGCCCTTCAGCTTTTTCGCAAGCTTTAGCACTTCAATTTTATTTTTTCTACTCACAAATCGAATGATGATGTTTGGCCTATTGTTTTGTTTCTGGGGTATGGTGTGACAAGCAGCTATATTTTTACTATCCAAAAGAATGTCTTTATTGTTGAAGAAGTTAATGACTTGCTGCTCAAGTGAGTGCAGTTCACCTCTTGGTGCATCCTCACCCTCCTTGTCACCTGCTGTGATCCGTGCATAGGTGCGGTGGGTCATCTCCAGTCCAGATATTACCAGGTCATCCATCCTTGTGTACTGTTCCAGATCTTCCACTCCTCTTCAATTTTCTTGTCTTTTTCTTTTATCCCAGCCTTCAGTTGTCGCACTTCATCAATTAAATCCAGTAGGCCCATCTGTTGTTTAGCCACCTTGCTCAGTTCCTCTTGTAAACATGTAGTTCAGAGATTTTTTAACCTCTTCCATTTCTTCTGCCAATTTCTTAGTTGCCATTGCTTTAGTTGTAGTAAGTGTGTCTGTATGTGCAACAGAAAAACAAATATCTTCAGAAATTCCAGGTAATCCAGTATTGCTGGTTGTCAAGCACATGGCATCAAAAGTGCCCAAAACTTCAAAAATGGCAGAAAATAATCCTGCAAGTTCAAACTTAACGTTCATATAAAGTGCTGCTTAGATGCTGCTTAGATGTCAGGCTATTTCCATGATATTTGATGAAGAGCAGGACAACACAATGCATCTAACCAGCCGCGCCAGCTCAGAAGCACTAATTATGGCAGCACAAGAACAGGCACTTACTTCAAGTCTAATAAGAGGAAAACACTCAGAAATCAATCAAAATTTAGCACAATTATTAAGTTTTTGAAACACTGTCCCAAAAAAATATTGTGTGCAGTAAGAGCCCTTTGAAGTCTTTAATAATAATCTACAACAACCATGTCTGATTCTAAATGCTGCTGGAGTACGAGACACTTTGCGCCGTGCAGTACTTTGCTCTGTCACTGCCTCCACAGAGTCCGGCTTCAGCCCCACCGCAGAGCCTGCCTTTTTGATGATCTTATTCAGTCGGTGGATGTTCCTCTTGCTGGTATTGCTCCCCCAGCAGACCACAGCATAGAGGAGCATGCTGGCAACCACCGACTGATAAAACATCTGTAGCAGCTTTGTGCAGATGTTGAACGATGCCAGTCTCCTCAGAAAGTAAAGCCTGGCTTGCCCCTTCTTGTTCTGAGCCCAGTCCAATTTGTCCAGTTGGAGCCCCAGGTACTTATAAGATGTGAATGTCATCATAAGACCATAGCCAACATAAGTGTTGGGCAATATATCAATATAATATCAATAACATTATATAAAATATTGTCTTAAAATTTTGGATATCGTAATACTTTAAGTGTTTTCTTTTCCTGGTTTTATTTTTATGTATTACAGTAAAGTGATGTCATTTTCTGGACTATCAAGACTATTCTAGCTGTTTTATTTTATACCCTTACCCATTCAGTCATTATATGCACATTACTGATGATTAAATTGAAAAATCTCGCTGTGTAAATATTTTGAAAGCACCAGTAGTCAGCCCTACAATATCAACATCAAGGTATTTGGTCAAAAAATTGTAATATTTGATTTTTTCCATATTGCCCAGTCCAAGCCTACATTACATTTTAAATATATTTATTTAGCTCTAATCTAAAAAAAACCACAGGGGTCAGCAACTGAAGATGGAAAAACTATACAGATCATAGGCAAAGAGATGTAACTATACGCTCACAATCTGATCCAGTAATATTGTGGCTGTTGATGTGCACTTGAAAGGTGTTGTGGTTACAGTAGATTTGAAATGTTTGTCTGTTTGGACCACTGAACAGCATCCAATGTCTTCATGTCAGCTACTTTAACAAATGTGCATTTAAATATTGTCACCAAAATGCTGATCAAACACGATCAGACTATATGCTGTATATTTAAAAAAGTCACTTTCAAACTACAGTCTGCAGCTGCACCACAACCCCGATTACTCAGAAATAATAACATATAATCTCCAGTATTACAGGAATTATGTCCCATTAATGGGACCAATCACATCATGGAGAGACAGAATTATTTATTTATTGTCTAAAGCTTCATACATTTTTTTTTACAATTTAAACTGAGCTTACAAATTATTTGCAAGAAACATTTAAGTGGAACTGATGGCTGTCTGCAGTGTTGTGATGACAGAAGGACATGCAGAGGTTTAATTCTGAGCTGAGGGGGATGCTCAGTCATATTTGGATGTATGGGCAAAAACCATTGTTCAAAGAAATGACTGTTGGCACATAAAAGTGGTGACTTAAGATAGTCTGGAGTAACAAACTAATATCCATCCACGATTCTGACCCACAGTATACCTCTGTTAATTTGATACGGCCTGAATCATGAGGCTTTGTTCGAGAGAGGAGACAGAGAGGGACTCAGGGTTTGTTAGGGGAGCAGGTTCAGTTCACAGAGTTAGTTTGAGTTACCTTTCTTTCTAGAGATAAAAACGCAGAGTTTCCCCTCTTCTCAGGGTTAAATAAGTCAGAGTTTGCACTAAACCTGTTTTCTGAGATAGGGCCTTGATGAAGAACGCTTGGCTTTGTATCTGTTGACAAAAAATTCTCTGAACGTGTCATAGACTAGCTTTAGCCACTAGAGGGCAGCAAGAGACTTCTCGATCTGCCCTCTACCCAGCTAAGGGGAAGCTGGTGGGTGGGGTTGGGGTGATGTGATAAAATAGAGTACAGTCTGAAGTTTTCTCATTATAGCATTTACTTTCATATCATTACAATGCACCTGTCAACAGGAATATAAATGTAGTGATGGGGATAGTTTTCTCATGTTGGATCAAAACTGGATGAAAACTGTATACAAACGACTGTAAATCGGATTTATTGATTATTTTTGGAATGATTTGTGTTATATATTTTGGCTTGTCAGCCTACACAGATTTCAAACAATGTGTAGGCTTTGTTCCTCAATAATAAGGGGGTAGAGGAGACTGTGTAGACATTTTTGTATGCAGTAGATTGAAAAGGATACTTCAGCCAAAATATTCATTCACATTGTCTCCTATAATGTATCACTCAGTTTTTCATATTTTTTTCTCTTTTATAGCTTCTTGTTCTGCGGAACAGAGAATGTGATGGAGAATGCCATCCAGTCTGTGCTTCCATGCCCTGCTTAACCTGCCACAATCATCATGTTACTCAGGGTCTTTCAATAAAGATTTTGCACTCAGACCTCTTCAGCTATCTCAGTGTATTCGTTGTGCTATTTTGTGGGATGTAATGGCTTTGCTGCCTTTGCCCTCTGCCACAGTGGAGGACTGAAGAAGATCAACTGTGAAGTCACGTAAAGAAACAGATTAGACAGGAAAAAGAGGAGAACTGATGTAAAACCCAGTGTGTTTCTACTGACCTGTGAGATGAGGGAATGATGAATGAAAGGAATATTTAAAGCCACAAGTTCTGATGCAGAAAATATATATGATTATGTTTATATGAAGTATTAAAAGTATTGTGTTAGTCCTCTCTTTCCTCTATTAACATTAATATCTGGGTGAGCAGTTTAGAGGCATGACAGTCAACTGGCAAACACCATTTGCCCTTTAATAGATACTCTAACAAAAGAAAGGGTCACTTACATCCATATGATGCACCTTTTACAAGTCTATGCCCACTGTCTCATTATCTGTTCAGGTGGCCACACAACAAGCCGCAAGTCCCAGCAAAGCCAATTTTAGACAAAGTAGGAATTAGACACAAACACACAGACTGATAACGCAAGGGCGTAGGGCAGGGGCGTTTCAAGGATTTGAAGACACTGGGTGTTTATCCCAGATCTCTCTAGGGGGTCTTGGGGGGATCCCCTCCTGCATATTTATTTTATGAACAAGCTTTATTTGGTTGCTTTTTTAATGCACTCTGGCATCTTATTTACCCTTTTTTTCCAAATAAATGATGCATTGGGATGTATAAAATATTAGTAGTTGTTAGTAATTAGTATTGAGTAGAAACAGAATACTTTGCAACTGTTATCATTAAAATTTAGAGAATTCTGAGGTACGAAAAACTTGTAATGAAATATTTCCAATTTGTACTTCTTTATACTTCCACTCCTCTACATCTCAGAGGTAAGTACTATACTTTTCACTACACTACATTTATCTGTTTGATCACACAAAATGTGCTGCTTGAATGACACAGATGACTCAAAACAGATTATATATATGCATGTCTATATATGTGTATGTATGTATATATATATATATATGTACATACGTATATCTATATCTATATCTATATCTATATATATAGTATATGAGAGAGGATAACATGCAGCAAAGGGCCACAGGCGGGAAATGAACCCGCGGCCACTAGGTGCCCTATTAAATGTCATCTTGTTGAGTCAACATATAAACCAATCAGCTGTTCGATCAGGTGAGAGTCAAGCGTTTCCCACCATGCCCTGGGTCTTACAGTCGGTGGAGAGCAACTGCAGCGCTTTGCTCTAAAAACTTGATCTCTTGAGGTTATTGTTGTCCACTTTTGTATGACATCAGAGCAAGTTGTGCTGAAATCAGACCCAGATTTAACTGGCATGCATTGCACAGCGATTGGTGGTGATTGACTCTGCGCAGGCCTGACTCATCTCAAATGAGCCTAATATCAGGGAAAAAATAGAGCGCATCCTCTGACGCATTGATAGTTAGTTTACTGTCCTTTCGTCCCAGAGGAAGATCTCTGTTAGTCCCAAACATATTTTAGCGAGAAGCTGGCTACTACTCTCCATCTCATCACACAACGGTGAGATCACACAGCCCATTTACCCGACAGTCAGTGTATTCTTCTCGTATTTGTTAATTAAATTAAGTTTATGACCATTTGTTTTGAACCCTGATTTTTAGCCTGCGCAAAACTGTGACACAACAGAAAAATATCTGCCAACATTGGCAACAAGCAAGCTTAGTGTAGATGCCTCCCAGTGTGTCTCACTGGAGCAGCAATGTTGTGGTTTGGGGGTGGGAGGGGCATACAGCATATTACCCGTTCTGTCCTGTAGGCTGCCTTGTTGAGCGCAGTGGCATTAAGAACATTATATTAAACACAGTTTAAACTGCAGATTTTATTTTGCAAATGTAATAGGATAGTTCAACGTGTCGTTTGGATTGTAATGCGTACCGAACCGAAAGCCTTGCACCGAACGGTTCAACATGGTTACTTTTATGGTTACACTGTACCTACATATATATATATATATATATATGTAGAGTGTATACATATGCTAATACTACTGCAGTGTCATCATCTGTAATGTATTTCTTCTGTCGATCACTGTGTTTACAATCTGGTTGGCCTGTTTCATCCTCGTCAATCTTGCTGTTGCCATCTACATCTTTCTGTCTGGCTCTGGCAACAGAAAACTATAGACTAGCGTTTTTCTTTTTAAATATTTGTTTAATTTTATGCCACTAATAATAATAATGCAGACAATTCAATGATGTGCACCTTATGCAAGACAAATTTCTAAAAATAATAAAAACATATTTCTTTTATTTTTATCAGAATAGTCATTAACAGATGCAGATGGGACCAGTGGTGTAAGGTAGTTACAACAGGCCCTAGGGCACGCTACTATGACGGGCCCTAAGGTATGCTAGTTAATAGTTATGGACCTAAACTAGCTACACTGTAATCTTATCATCACATGATCAAATAGAGACTTGACACTGGATAACACCAACATACATACAGTATTACCCATATGACAAAAATACCAACGGAAAGAAAGAATCATTAATTTAATTCTATATTCTTGCCACAAAATCAGCAATGAAATCAGGGAGTGCATCTTTAAGTGTGCGCTTATATTTTGTAGTAGGCTGATAATTCACATAAATTCCCATAAAACCATCCCTGACAACTTCATTGCTATGTATGGTCCCCCATTACTGAGTGTTATTACTGTCACTTTAACAGGTTCAACAAGAGCAGCAGTACAATGGATACTTCAGATGTCCAACTGTTAGTGTCCCTTGTCTTTCTTTCTCTTCACAAAGCTAACTGTTTCTCACTGCCATGGCCTGTCAAGACAAGGAGGGGGTAAATATTACCCTTATTAATGTTGAAAGACATTAAGCTCCATTTGTACGAACACAAATTAATAGTAAATTATACGGTGACATCACCACTTTCTCCTCCTCATTTGGATACAGAATGTTACTGGACTAAACCTGTCCAATGTGTCACATATATCTGTAATTCCAAAAGGCCTCTGCCGGTACTTTGTGTGTGTGTGTGTGTGTGTGTGTGTGTGTGTGTGTGTGTGCACACAAAGCACTTATTAATCTGTCCATGGCCTTCGCTGGCTTATGAAGTCCTGATTGTGTGTCATTGTTTTGGCTTCATTTATTTGAACACACATCCCATAATCACACTCACAAATATATGGCTTTAAAAAGGCGAACTGCCATTTTCATCATTGCACTAACAAAGTGCATTTGAAATCGCTCTGACTTCCCCTGAGCTGAGCCATCAGTGCTCACACAATTCCAATCAGAATAAAAAAAAACCTCTCAGCTTCAAATCTTCAAGCTTGACTACATTGATAATATTAATAAAACAGCAAATTGAATGTGTGGGCTAAGAGGTAGGGGGAGAAAGTGTCTTGAAATACTCTAAAGACGTCCATCTTTATGTCTGACTCTTGTTTCTCTTTTCATTATTGGCTCATTGAAAGTGAAGGCTAATGACAAAATAGCAGGCTAATTCCTGTAATTATGTGTGTTTGTCAAAGGAAATTTGCAAATGACAGCTCTTTTTCTGAACTTTAAGCCAGTAGCTTCGGGGGTGGCATTGTTACTAACAAAGCATTCATAGACAGGTCATGAATTAGTGAGGTAAAGATGTAGGTGGCAAGAGAAAAATAGCTTCTCTGGGGAAATATTGCACAACAAACTTAACCCCTGGCCGTTAGCTACAATGTTCTGTTGTCAAGAACAACTGTGCATGAACAGAGGTACAGAATTCACATGTATGTTGTTGTGAAGTTGAGGCAAAAGAGAGAGATGAATGCCCAACAAGGACATTACACAAATGTTGCATTACATTATATAAAAGACAAGGCTGAAAGGAGCAGAGAGAAATAGTAAACTGCCAAAGGGTTTTGAGGGTTTCAGTTGTTCAGTGTTTTCCTGAAGCTGTCACATGAAGACAGGTTAAGTCTATTTGACCTCCATAGTAAAATTATTCTGAATACCACAATACCTTTTGACCTTCATAATAAATTGATTCAGCAGTAATATGAGAGTACACAAAGGAATTTGTTATAGTGAGCAGGAGGGAGGTTGAATAGAGGCTGATGGCTCAGACAGAGTTCAGTACAGTCTTTTTAAAGCAGATGCCAACTTTCGACTGTTTTGCACTGAAATTCAACTATTTGAGTAGATAAATCAAGAGATGTTTTTGTAGATTTTGTGAGGGTCTGAGTAACCCAGTTATTGCAGCCATGTCTTCTTTTGTCTTAAATGTGGCTATGGCTGTCAACAGCAGATACCCATGTTCTGTATCCCCTTTCTGAATCATCAGTACCAAGGCAGTACCATCAGAACAATGCTCGCCACATGCATCTGAGATGTGCCTTCTTTTGCCTAACCAAATCAATTCATTACTAAAGACAGTTGCTGTATAGGCCTAGGTGATAAATTGATTTTATCAGTTAATTCAAATTCATAGTGTTAGGACGATGTCTAAAAATTATAATCGATTTTCACGTTAACTTGGGTAATCATGGTAATTATGACTCCACCGCTGCACCTGGGCTCCCATAGTTCATAGTAGCCTAAGCACCTCCGTCATCCAAGGGGGTCTATTTCTCTTCCAGAACCCACAGTGGTATCATTGTGGTGGGGTATACTAGGAAGAAAGGACAGGATTCACTCCCAAAAAGGCCCTGTCTCTTCAGTCTGGTTCAGTTTTGCAGCATCCAACCTCAAGCAAACCACTGTCCGCTGTAAAGTTTGTCTTAAGACAACAACACACTTAATTTATTTCAGCATGTCAAACAGATGCCTGCAGCCGAGTGGGAGAAGTGTAGGGCACTGCAAGTTCCTAAAGACAGCAACATTCCTAAAACACCCACACTGTAAACCCGAACACTACTACTAACTCAAAAGTATTGTGAAACAACAATCAAAATCCGCTATCAAGTCAACCCAACTTTAAGTTACTAAGTGTTCCGAACGAGGAATGCA